TCTCCAAATTTTCAAGGCTAAGACAACTGCAGCTAGCTCTAAGTCATGTGTAGGATAATTCAGTTCATGTTTCTTCAACTGCCTGGAAGCATACGCTATAACTTTCCCATTCTGCATCAAAACACAACCAAGACCCTGACGTGAAGCATCACTATATATCACAAACTCTTCACCGGGAGATGAAAGGGTAAGAACTGGAGCTAACACTAATCTATTCTTCAATTCGAGGAAACTTCTCTCACAATTTTCATTCCAAACAAATTTAGCATTCTTTCTAGTCAAACTAGTCAAAGGAAGAGCAATTTTAGAAAATCCCTCTACAAAACGACGGTAATAACCTGCTAAGCCAAGAAAACTTCGAATTTCTGTCACATTAGTAGGTCTTTCCCATTTTACCACTGCCTCTGTTTTCTGCGGGTCAACATAAATTTCTTTTGCTGATATAACATGTCCCAAAAATACAACTTTATCAAGCCAGAATTCACATTTACTGAATTTAGCATACAACTGCTCATCACGTAGAGTCTGCAAGATGATTCTGAGATGTTCTATGTGCTCATCATGATCTCAATAGTATACTAAAATATCATCAATGAATACAATCACAAATCTGTCTAAATACGGGCGAAACACTCTATTCATCATATCCATAAATGCTGCTGGTGCATTGGTCAACCCAAATGGCATCACAAGAAATTCAAAATAACCATATCTTGTCCTAAAAGCAGTTTTTGGCACATCATTATCCCTGATTTTAAGTTGATTATATCCCGAACTTAAATCAATTTTTGAAAATACTGCAGCACCTCCAAGCTGATCAAACAGATCATCAATACGTGGCAAAGGATATTTATTGCGAATTGTCACTTTATTCAATTGTCTGTAATCTATGCACAGTCACATGGTGCCATCTTTCTTTTTCACAAACAAAACTGGTGCTCTCCACGGAGATATACTAGGTCTGATGAAACCCTTGTCTACCAACTCTTGCAACTGAACCTTTAGCTCTTTCAATTCTGCTGGTGCCATTCTATAGGGTGCCCGTGAAATACGTGCAGTTCCTGGAATCAGATCTATAGTGAACTCCATATCTCTGTCTGATGGTAAGCTTGGTAATTCTTCTGGAAATACATCAGGAAAGTCCTTGACCACTGGGATATCTTCAAGTTTTAGTTTGCTAATATCTGATAAATTATATGAGCCAAATATGCATGACAGCCCTTGTTGAGTAATCTTCTAGCGTCAATAGCAGATATCACACAAGACGGCAAAATTTTACGCTGTCCATTGAATATAACTTCAGGCTGTCCTGGCTGCCTGAACACAACCTCCTTTCGAAAGCAATCAACTGAAGCTCGATTTGTTGCCAGAAAGTCCATACCCAAGATAACATCGAAATCATGTATGTCAAGAGGTATTAAATTTGCCTTCAGCTCATTTTCCTTTATCTTAATCCCACACTCTCGATATATATTGTTTGCTAATAGTGATTCTCCTACTGGTGTACTCACTACCAAACAACTGCCTAAAAGTTCTGGCTTTTGATTCGCATATAAAGCAAATGCAAATGACATAAAAGAATGTGTAGATCCAGGATCAATCAAAATACGAGCATTTCTATCAAAAATAGACAACATACCCATGATAACATCTGGAGACTCCTCTGCCGCCTGCTGAGTCATAGCAAAAACTTTACCCTGGGTCTTCGGTCGTCCTACCTGCCCTTTTGATTTTGTACCACTACCGCTTGCAAAATTAGACTGGGACACACTGTTTGCACCTGTTCTATTAACTGAATCATCTCTCTGAGTCTGATTCTGTCTTGTACTACCAGCACTCTGCTGAGGAAATATCTTCGGTACCATACCACTCTCATGTGATAGAACTGGACAATTTCTTCTGATATGTCCGCCTTGACCACAATGATAACAGACTCCGCTTCCTTCGAACTTTAAACACGTGCCGAGATGAGGTCTTCTACATAATTGACAATAAGGTAGTCTAGTACTAGTAAAACTCTCGCCCTGTCTCGGAGTAAATAACCTCTGGGAAGAACCCTGAGTATAAGTACGACTGGCCACTGGCTGCTGTACAGTACTGGGACTGAATCTAGGGCCTTGACTTCCTCGTGATTGAGATTTGAATTGACTTGAACTGGACACACCAGGTCGAAATCCTCAACTGTCTCTCCGTGGTGGTCTATAGCTAGAAACACTTGCCATTGTTAGACTACCGCTTGCTCTGAACATTGTTTGTTCTCTACCACTTGGCCCATCAGAAATGCTCTTTTCTACTCTCAAAGCTGATTCCACCAATTTGCCAAATACATTCCAGCCTGCAGCTGTTACTACTGATCGGATTTCTTCCTTTAACCCATTTTCAAATCGTCTACATTTATCAATTTCGTTGCTTACCAGAACTTGGGCATACTTTGAAAGTTCAATAAATCTCACCTCATATTCGCAACTGTCATCTGCCTTTGTACTAGTTTCAAAAATTCCTCCTACTTTACATCTTTATAAGACCGAGGGTAATAGGCATCATAAAAGATACGTCCGAATTCTGTCCAAGTGATGATGGAAGGGTCTAGATATGTGCTCTGTACCGACTGCCACCAATCGTATACACCTTCCTCCAATAAGAAAGTGGCGAGACACAACTTCCTATCGTCTGAGCAACCCATAACATCAAATACTCTCTCTATCTTAGTCATCCATGCCTGTGCAACTGCAGGATCAGCTGTGCCAGTGAACACTTTAGCCCCTAACTTTTTAGCCCTTTCAATACTGAAATCTCTGTCAGAGTTACGCATAGCAGATGCAACGGCAATAGCAATTTTTCAACAGCAATAGGATCAGTTCCAATCACATTTCCCTATCCCCATTGTTCAGGAGGCTGGTGAACTGATTCATCTACTCTCTCGGGCTCTCTCAATTCATCTCTATCAGGAGCAATTTGAGACTGGGGCAACATATCTTGGAGCCTTCGAGTTTTGCCACCACGAGGTATGACTCACCTACAGTTATGCATGATATGCTAAACATCAGAATGTATGCATGTAAAATGCAAACCCATGAACCCTAATGCACGCTTTGATACCAAACTGACACACCCCGCCCCGTGTAACACCACTAGATCCGGACGTGGCATGCGCCGATGATAGATACCAACTAAAAATCGGACCCACCGTCAAGGCTACTACAAATACAATATATCACTTTTTACACATTATTTTTCTAACAAAATTTCGGCATTATCTCCCCTGTAAACAGGACTAACCAACCTGTGATCAATTTCACACAAATCCCAAACTATAGCACATCACAATAAAGATAAGCCGGAATATCCACTTTTATCAAGAAATACAATGAAATATACATATGGATACATAATACATAGTGAACCCCATAACTAACTACAAGTGATGCAAAATCACATCTAGACATGAACATGCGTCCCAAAACACTAACTACATGTTCTATGAAGTGAGTCATACTAACAAACTCTGTCGTGTGACTCTAACTCCAAAATCAAGGCTTAACTCCAAAAGATGCCCAGATTCTCAACTGCTGCCTGATAAGGAAAAACGTGAAAAAATATATGAGTTGATAGCTCAGTGAGTCGAGAAGTTCAAAATAAATATACCTTTTCATTTATACATTTTTATTGAAAATCAAATTCATACCATTTGATAATTCACAAGCTAACATCATATAATTATAGCCAAAAAGTGAAATATTCACATAATGTCATAAAAATATCATCTTAAAATCATGATATAACATCAGCTGATAACCATGTTATAATCTCATCACATCAAACGTGCTGAAAAATCCACCAAAAATGTACCATCTGACTGAAATATGTAATCCGCCCCTCGGGCTAAAAACTTTCGTCACGGGCCTTTGGCCCCTCCGTGAACGAAAATCGGTCTCAAAAATCTCTCATAATCAATTCTAGAACACGGCCAAGGCCCCTCAATGAACTATATGTACACGGTCGAGACCCCTTCATCCTCGGTCCATGACCCCTCAGTGTAGTATAGAACATGGCCAAGGCCCCTCAATGAACTAGAAGAAATATATAATCAAGGGTACTTTTCTGATCGATCTCAAAATCATATCTCATATTCCAATTCACAATGTAAAGTATACAATCTTTGAAATCCCACATGTATCATAATAAAAGATATTTCCATAAAAATCATGTAATTTGAACACATAATTGCATATAATTGCACATACTTTAACAATTAACTTAATTTATAAATACTTTAAAAATATTTATATTTTTCCACTCACAGAACTATGTACGCCAAAATCAATTCGATTGATACGCTGTCCCGATATCCGTATCGCCGCCTGAAATATAATATAATTTTTAAATCAACAATTAACTAATTTCAATAATTAAATAGGCGATACCTAAACATAATTATTTCACGTTTAGGCGATTTTTAACGTCTCTTTAATTACTAAAATTAATTTTTCTTTCATTTTATTCAATTTCATAGTTTATTACACTTAACCCCTTCAATAAATTTAAATTTAACCTAACAATCTAACAACTACAAAATCAAACATAACTTAACATTAAGTAACTTTTTACTTACCTTTCAAAATTGAGAAATTCAAGACTAATAGGATAGAGCACTTAATTCCTAACACATTGGCAAATTTTTCCTTTTTTTCTTCTTCTTTTTCTTCCTCTTTTTCTTTTTTTTTTTTTTTTCTTTTTCCTCTCTTTTTCTTCTCTGGTCCGCTAATAATCAATATTGGTCCCAGATCTTTAAAGAACAAATGATATTTCTTAGATTTTTGTTTCTGTAAATCCTTTGTAAAGTTTTATGTTTCATACTGAGTATATGATAAAAGCATGTCTTAACTCCAAGTTAAAGTTTAAACTGTTTTTAAAATAAGCCCTGAGTGACCCTTCAAAGCTCCTTTTTTTCTTCTTCTTTTTCTTCCTCTTTTTCTTTTTTTTTTTTTCTCTTTTTCCTCCCTCTTTTTCTTTCTCTGTATCGGTTTCTTTTGTGTGTGTGGGTATTGAGATGAATTTGCATGAATTGGAATGATATACACTGCTAAAGCCACCGCCTCATGTTATTTTATTTTTCTGCTGATGGATCATTCCAGTAGGTATGTTTTATTGTTCTAAGATATGGTACTAATAATCAATATTGGTCCCAGATCTTTAAAGAACAAATGATATTTCTTAGATTTTTGTTTCTGTAAATCCTTTGTAAAGTTTTATGTTTCATACTGAGTATATGATAAAAGCATGTCTTAACTCCAAGTTAAAGTTTAAACTGTTTTTAAAATAAGCCCTGAGTGACCCTTCAAAGCGTAAAGGCCTAGTGGAAAGGCTAGTGAGACGCATAGAAAGGGGAAAAGGACCACTGTTTTAAGAATTTTTGTTAAGGGAGTGACAGTGGTGTCCTTGCAAAAATGGAGTTAGGCCCAAGTTCATATATCTCAGATGGCATAATTTTTTAATTTAAAAAAGAAAAAAAAATGATATTATCTTATCAAAATATATTTCAATTAAGAAGAGTACTGAGTAGGATTTTTAAAATGAGGGCAAAAATGTCAAAAAATGAAAAGTATGACCGTTTTCCGTAATAGACTTGACAGGTATAAACGTTTTGTGCCAATTACCCTTAGGAAAAACATCAAAGTTCCACAATCTAAAACACTCACTTCCTTAATACATCAATGAAGGTACTTTCTCAATAGTTTTTACAGATTGATAGAGATTGGACTACAAGTACATGAAGAGAACAAGAACTGGTTGTTCTTGGGAATTCATATGAAATAGACAATTCCAAAAGATTAGGAACAAGTGTGAGTGAAGCACATTCCAGTATTTCCTGAAGATTATAGGAATTAGATTAGCGAGTCTAGTGGTTTTTTCTAGGCAGGATTGGACTGTAAGTTCATATTGTCTATAGTGGAGGTTATTGGCTTGGTTTCGGAGTTTTTATCCAGTTGAGTTTTCTCCGTCAATAATATTGGTATTCTTTATTGCTTTCATATTTATTGTTTGTGGCATTCAAATCATAGGATAAATTTAACTGTTTGATTAATTATCTAGAAACAATTAAAAAGTAATTTATTGCTTTTAATTATATAATTTCGGTCAGACTTAATTGGTAATTAGAGCTTTGAAATATGAAAAGAACTGAATGGTCCGGTCAGATCAATTCCCATAGTTCTAAACAATATAACATGAAAAAAAAAAAACGTAAATAGTTTTAATTTTACAAAGTAAAATCAAAATAATATTATTGTATAATTTTATTATTATTATTTTTTTTGTTATGAATTTGAAAATTAGTCTATGTAATGATCATGTAGAACCATGTATGTTGGTCATTATATGCAATACAGTATATAATTAAATAATATAATATATATTATTTCTAAGTTGGTTACCTTTTTTATTGTACATCCAGCTAGCTAACATTTTAATATTAGAAGATTGTTCAAACAATTTAGCACAATCCGCATACTTTGGAAATGACAAATGATGTTCATTTCCTGAAACAATAATGAATTCAGGAATGTAAGGTATGTACTATTACGACTATAAACATTTATTTATTTGGACTTCAATAATGCACTCGCCATGCTTGGATTGGCCTACAGATGGATACCTATGTTCGCTTTTAGAATTTGATTTGAATAAAAATCTTATTAGAAATTGATTGATATTAATTCTTGAATTCAATGTAAGCTTATGATATACTGGGAAAATTGCATTGTCAAGTCTCAGGCGAGAACTGCCTTAGACCTGAGATTCTAACAATTGGAAAAAAAAAAAATCGAGATTTTTTTTAATTTTGAATTTTATCCGATGTCTCAATGAACAATTGAAATGAAATAGAATAATAGGTGCTTATTACATATATATTTTTTTTAATGGTGAACGTAGCCTTTATTTATAAATGCAAGGTCGTAATCTATTTACAACTAGATTGTTGGACCAAATATAGCTTGAGATTGATGTATAGGATTTGGGTAAATTATCGATAGCACTACCAGAATTTCACATAATTCTTAAATATCATTATTTTCATTGTAAATATCTAAATATTTGGTATTGTGTTGTAGTTTGTAATGACATGATGAAATATATCAATATGTATCGCTTTAAGTTAGCCTAGACTGTAAAATTATAGATGAAAATCAGAATAATATAAACTTATTAAATTATTTGTCATTTTTTTTAATTTCTTGGTTATTGTTAATTGATATATGAATTATCTTTTAATGTAAGACATAAAAATTTTGGTTGTACTACATGTACATCGCTACTTACAGATTTGTTTACCAATAGACGATGTGAAAAGATTTGAGTGGGTTAAAATTTGATCAACCAAAAAAGAAAAATTCTCTCCCACTTTTTTGACACCTCATCAATTCGTAAAAAAAATATATAAATGGTAATGTACAAGTATTTTCTTAAAAATTTAGCCTCAAAAAAATTTTATGGGGGAAAGTTGACTTTTGTTGATCTCCTGCAATATCGTTAAATGAAAAGAATTTTCCACAAGAAAACTGCCATATAACCACTGCGTATGTAAAGAAAGTGACCATACATTATTCTACAATGATGTTGTGCAATAATACCTAATTACGCCCATACATTAATGAACGCCTACATATTCTTCAAGTGAAATGCAAATAGATAAATAAATATATGAATTCCGTGAACTTTCTTTCACAATATAATGATATAATTTCTAGGGATGCGCTCTGTATAAGCTTGAAATCTCTCATTCATTCTCTATATATAGTTTACATTTGGGTTTTCACTTTCCAAATTAAGCGTATACATTTCTTGAATAGGTTCTTGAAAATGAATTCTTGTTTGAGAATATGGATTATGTTATCCATATTATTATTCATAATTATGAAATCCCAAAAATTTGTTAAGGGTGAACCACTAGTTCCCTGCTTATTTTTCATGGGAGATTCACTTTTTGACAATGGAAATAACAATTTTCTCTCAACCATGGCAAAATCCAACTATCCACCATATGGGATCGACTATCCCGATGGTCCAACCGGCAGATTCTCTAATGGCCGGAATATCGCTGATTTCCTTGGTCTATATGTTTTTCATTCAGTTATGTGTGAATTTTAGTCACATGTTTATTAAGATTTAATTTATTTTGCATGCATGCAGCCCAATTGCTAGGTTTTGATAACCCAATTCCGCCATTTGTATCTGCCAGAGGCTCGAAGATCCTCAGAGGTGTAAATTATGCATCAGGCGCGGCAGGAATTCGTGAAGAGTCAGGATTCCAAGTGGTAAATTCTGTAGATTGACTCGTTTGATGAATTAAACTAGATATATAAAACAATATGCATACGCATTTTGCATCCATGGCCTTTGCAAAAACATAGCTCAGTGGGACAAAGTTATACAGCTAATGAAACTATTAATCGAAGACTTGTGTATTTTTTTCATAGGGCGATCGGATCAGCTTGAATAGACAGTTACTGAATCACAGGACAACTATATCACGATTTTATCTTTTCTTTGGAAGAAACGTGGGGGCAACAAAAGACTACCTTAACAAGTGTTTGTACATAGTTAATATGGGCAACAATGATTACATTAACAACTACTTTTTGCCACAATATTACTCAACAAGTCTAGTGTATACTCCCCATCAGTTTGCAACCATCTTGATTCGACAATATTCTGAACAGCTAAGGGTTAGTTAAATTTGCCATTTTTTTTGCTTCACGTTCATGTTTTTCATTGGGTATATAAGATGTTACCATATGTTTGCTTGTACATGTCTGTTACGTTTGATTTAAGAGAACACAGCTTTGGGTATAGTCGGCCTTTTTGACATGGCCAAAAACACTTCTCTTCTTTAATCTCATCCCATCGACTGTAGTTTAGCCTCCAACCGCGAAGGTAGAATATACTAATCACAAAATTGTAAAACAGCCTGTTCTTAATATTGTCGAATTAATCTGATTTTTAAGGTTCATAATGTTATACTAACATCTTATATTGTATTGCCCTAGACCTTGTACAGCTATGGAGCAAGAAAAATTGCCATATTTGGGCTTGGTCTATTGGGATGCATTCCACAAGAATTGACAATATATCCACCTACTAAAGGATCTCTATGTGTGGAGCCCATTAATAATGCAGTCCAGCTATTCAATAATAGACTGAAGCCCATGATTGATGACCTCAACAACAATTTATCAGATGCAAAATTCATCTATATAAACATTACCAGCATTTCTTTAGGAGATCCTTCGGCCATTGGTAGGTTAACATTTTACACCACATTCCCTTTCCTTTCCGATTTCATATTAATGATCGGTCGAGACATTGTCATCATATAAATGATTGACGTGTATGAATATTTACGGCATGTTTTATATAACATCTAACGTTCAATTTATTCAATTATTTCAGGTATTAAAGTTGTGAATGTTCCATGTTGTATAGTATCGACAACCTTTGCCAACGGACAATGTGCTCAAGGAAAAGTTCCCTGTAATAACAGAAATCAATATGTGTTCTACGATAATTTTCACCCCACGGAGATTTTGAATTTTGTCACTGCAACAAGAGCATACAACGCAACATTACCATCCGATGCCTATCCAACGGATATAAGTCATCTAGCTTTGCAATAAAATTTAAGATATAAAAACAATTATATATTAGTTTTTATGAAAAAATTTCATGACTTTGTAGTACTACGGACATGTTATAATAAACCTGAAAATATTACAACTTGGGGTGTTTTCAAGAAGTATTTTGTTATAAATATATAGATTGTCATTTTAGTAGACCAGTGAAAATTTCCTTCTTGATGCTAAATTCATAATAGGAATTTTTCTTGTAAATCATTCGGACTTTACTCCCATTATCGACATGGATGATGCGTAACATGATCACTTTGCCGTTGTTTTGTCCTTTTATCACTACCGAAAGATTCAATGCAATTAGATTCTTTGTAACGATGGCAAACACAATAAGGTGACTGGCTGGATTAGCTTGAACTGAAAGTTGTAATACAGAGCCATTATATCAGGATTTGATGATTGAAACTAGAGACTAACGAAACCAAATAAAACTATGGCTAGCATACTTGGATAAAATTCAAATAATGAAAGGCACTAAGGCTCCATTTCTCCAATTTAATACATATATATAATCACGCATTTAACAATATTCATTCGTTTTAATGATCCCTATCCCCGAATTACTCCAACGACCTCTCGTGTAGAGTCTACTTATTATCATGTATAGCTTCTGTATCTATATGAGAATTGCGAATACAAAATAAAGCATTTAGAATAACCATAACCAAACATCATATAGCAGTCGCATAGACCATAAATGTGTTGAGAATCTACATATTATCCGGATCTATGTTATTTGTTATTCGTGCTAAAACAAATAAATCGCTTCTTGGTAGCAATACAACTCATAATCAATCTTTATATTGGCCAAATAAAAGCAATAAGTGAATTCAATAGGAAACCGTTAAATGGCTCGTGTGGTTCCTAGAGCCGTAGCCTTACTTGATTGGTTTCAAATTATAACCTTCGCACGTTCAATTAAAACAAGAAATGACCTCTAATTTTGCAGTTTGTGCGGCAAGAACAAACAGAACCCGAAGAACAATAGGGGTAAAACAAGAAGCTAAACATACAATTGGCAAATTATCACAAAACTTTAGGGGGTGGGATGATGGGGCTCTCAAGGTTGGGTTAACCTTTATACAATTGGCAAATTAATTTGACTGTGACAATTGGGTCCCACACAGTTGTTCATTTAAGCAGTGGAAAAAGGCAATTTGACCATGAGAAAATGACGAAGAAAACAGCACAAGTTGTAGAGTCGTCACCCATCATCCCTCTGCCAAAGCAGAAGCACTTGGCAATGCCGTTAACCAGTGAAGCCCCAAAAAATTTAATAAAATAGAATTTATTTTTCTGGATGCTATATTTTATATTTTTGAAGGTTGAAAGACTAAAGCTGAATATGTTTTAAATTCTAATAGTTTTGGGTTAAGTAATTAGATTTTGATAGAGCCAGTTTTAGAGTATCAATATTGGACTCGTTGGATAGTTTATATTAAATGACACACCATTGACTCGAGAAATAGTTATTTTGGATAAGTTAAAGTCAAGTTTTTGAGGTCAAAAGATATTATCTTAATTAGTAATTAATTAAGTTAATTTAAAGATTTATGAATGATGGCAGCATGTAGAAATATTAATCATATTTTAAATTTTGTTTTTGTTTTTGTTTTGTTAAGCTAATTTGTAATATTAGTGGATTGTGATAAAATTGTCTAATTCATTCTTATCCAATCATTTTTTTTCCTCGTGGGACGCAGTACTTTAAATTCCAAGTATAGTATTTTTGAGAGAATATTTGATTAAAAAATAAAATTAATCTACTTGTACAATTATAGTTGACAATATTTGAAGTGGTAAAATCTGGACAATTAATATAAAAAACTGTTTTTAATATTTTTTGAAATGGATGAATATGACGACGATTGTTAACAAACATTGTCAACCATTATTGTACATATAGTATGATTGTAAAAAATAAGAAAAAATTTTGAATTTATATACAAAATATTTTATTTTTTAAATGTGTGATTAAAAATGATCCCGTAAAAAAAATAATTTTAAAACATTGTAAATCAAACATGGGCTTAATTGTCTACAATATTCTATCTTATCTATATATCTATTATCTACTCATGAAGGCAAATATCTCACGCCACAGAAAAAGACATCTCACGACTAGGGAGAATAAATAGTTGATATGCAATAGCAATTTCACGTCTTTTCTTGAAAAAGAAATTTGAAGCGTGGAATCTCTTGTTTTTCTTTCAAAAAATTATTTCATTTGACGAGGTAAGACAATGGGGTGCCGTTGCTTTTTATCCCGTTTAAATTATTTTTTTCATATTAAAGTATTATGCAAACGAAAGTTAAAGATGCGACGTGTTATGTATATTATGATCATCTGGTACCAAAAATATGATATTGAACTCTTATCAATTTCTAAAGATATATTGACGGTATGACATTTTTCACACATATTTTTCTTAAAAGTTTAAATGAAAGTTTTAGTAACGATTTAAAACTTAAAAATTTGGGTCATTACATAACCACCGTCAGGCTAATCAATAGCAGCCAAAACGCCATCAAATCGTACACTGTTGACGTGTCTGTCACCAAGTTTAAAGAGAAGTAGAAGTTCAAAAATTTGATTTCCAAAATTTTTTGAATAAGTTAATTTTTCTTACATATTTACATAAAAATTATTTGTTAATACATTTGCAAAATCAAAAGTTTGAAATATTTCACAATATTGAGTGTTATAAAATGGAGTTTCTTTAGTTACTAGGACTCTTCATCATTATCATTATCTATATGTAATTTCTACATAATTATATTACAAAACATTACATCAATTTTCGTTTATTGTATATAGTTCGATTAACTAGGAAACTTTGGAGAAAGAAATATTATGATACTGTAAACAAAATAAACTAATAGTAAGGTCCAATAAAAAGTTGTTTGAGTAATTCAGGGGGCCGCATGCCCCCACTCCCCACCCTTGCAATTGGCTGGGAGTCAAGTTGTTTGAGTAACTCTAATCTATTTACTATTAGTTTATTTTGCTTACAATATCATAATATTTCTTTCTCTAAAGTCTCCTAATTAATCAAAGTATATACAATAAACGAAAATTAATATTTCCATGTTGATCCTAGTTGTAATCTTGTGAGGTGACATACAAATAGTCAAAGAATGATATATGCTATGTTCTTCACAATTTTTTATTATTTTTTTTTTTTGAATTTGTTACCAATATAGTCACCGCCACGATCCAAGTGTAAAGCTTTGATCTTGTACCCATTTTGATTTTTCACCATTACTTTGAAGTTCTTAAAAGTTTCAAATGTATCAGACTTTTCTCAAAGAAAATAAACCATAGTTGTGCGAGAAAAATCATCAATAAATAACATAAAATAATTATTTTTACACCACAAATATTTGTATGCACCAATTCAAGAGGCTTTTTGCTCGGTAACTTGCTTCTTTTGGAAGAGCCTTTCAAAATTGCTTCCCATAGAGACATCATTCACAAAGTTGATTTGGATGATGAATATGTGGCATTCTCTTCACCATGTTCTTGTTCGCCAAGAGATTCAAACTATCAATAATTAGATGTTAGTAAAAACTCTATCAAAAAAACTTCGGACATAAAAGCAGAGAAGCTAGCTTTTGTCAAAAGTTCAAGTATAATTTGTAATCTTCAACTAATCCAAATCCAAATTGAACACTTCAACGAATTGTCAAATGGATAAAATTTACAATTCAAAATGTATACTCAACTTCAATATTTGAAAATATGCAAGCTGGAACCTGGAAATAAATCAGGCATCAACCAGACAACATTTCAATTATTCAAATACAGCTGCAAATAAAGATGCACCAGCTGTAAATGATGTGAAAAAACAGCTATTACCTTTTTGTAATTGTAGAGAATTATTAAGACTAGCTTACTTTATAAAAAGGAAAGTATCCATCTAGTGTTATATATGTAAAAGAGGTGAGAAAAATCTCTCAAAAAAATAGAGAAAGAGTGTGCCGTAGCAACTTCTTTGTAATTCCTCAAATTTCATGAGTAAAATTTCATATTTCTCCTATCTATTTCCTTCTACACCTAACAGCTTTTACTAATTTGTAAACTTAGCTAAACATATTGTTGACCAAAAGAAACCTACCGATCATATCAAAACTTACATGTTAGCGTATACTTAAACGAAAAGAAAGAATGAAAAAAAAATGTAAACATAATTTTCTAAGAGCAAGTAAAATCTCACTATCAAAAATTTTCAAATATAATAGTAGAAAAGTTAGCTTCTAGTAATTTGTAAAAAACTTAGCCAAATCTACTGTTTATGAAAAGAAACCTACCAATCATATCAAAACTTACATGTTAGCATATACTTAAAAGAAATGAAAGAAAGAAAAAAATGCAATCCTAATTTTCTAAGAACAAGTGAAAACATACTATTAAAAACCCTTCAGACATAATAGCAGAAAAGTTAGCTTTTAGTAATTTGTAAACTTAGCCAAACATACTGTAGAGCACTTCATAGCACTATTACATAAATTTAATTCACATGTTTTGCTATTTTCTTTATTTAAATTTGGATTAATTCCACCAAAGGTCTAAAAGGCGAAATCAAGCAACAAGTCAAATATCTACACTCCTATGCTTAAAGATAAGGGGCCGCCATGTTGACTGACTTCGTGATATTGTAGTGCAATAATGCCTAATTGATCACATTAAACTTCTCTGATACTTTAGCATGATTCCTTTTACAATAAAATGATATAATTTTTAGGGTGCCCTCCATCTAAACTTGAAGTCTCTCTTTCATTCCTTATATATAGTTTACAATTGGGTTCTCAATTTCCAAATTAAGCTCATACATTTTTTGAAAATGAATTCTTGTTTGAGAACATGGATTATGTTATCCATGTTATTATTTATAATTATGAAATCTCAAAAATTTGTCAAGGGTGAACCACTAGTTCCCTGCTTATTTTTCATGGGAAGTTCAACTTTTGACAATGGAAATAACAATTTTCTTGTTACCAAGGCAAAATCCAACTATCTACCATATGGGATTGACTATCCTGACGGTCCGACAGGCAGATTCTCCAATGGCCGGAATATCCCCGATTTCCTTGGTCTATATATTTTCCATTGATTAATTTCTTCATCATCATCATCTTCATCTTCATCTTCATCTTCTTTTTCTTCCCTTTTTTTTCTTTCTGAATTTCACTTTAATTTATGATTAAATATTTATTAACATTTAATTCTTTTGGATTTGTTTCGCATGGATGCAGCCCAATTCCTGCGTTTTGATAACCCAATTCCACCTTTTGCATCTGCCAGAGGCTTGGAGATCCTCAGAGGCGTAAATTATGCATCAGGTCAAGCAGGAATTCGTGACGAGACAGGATTCCAAGTGGTAATTCTACAGTGTTGTCTCATTTGATAAGTTGAATTAGATAAGACAAGACACATGTGCATTTTGCATGTGTGCCTTTGCAAAAATATGGCTACGTGACAAAGTTACATAGTTAATGAAACTATTAACTAACGAATTTTATTTTTTTCATAGGGCGATCGGATCAGCTTTAATAGACAGTTACTGAATCACAAGACAACTATATCACGATTTTCTCGTTTACTTGGAAGAAACGTGGGTGTAACAAAAGATTACCTTAACAAGTGTTTGTATATAGTTAATATAGGCATCAATGATTACACTAGCAACTACTTTTTGCCACAATACTACTCAACAAGTCTAGTGTATACTCCCGATCAGTTTGCAGCCATCTTGATTCGACAATATGCTCAACAGCTAAGGGTTAGTTAAATTTGCCATTTTTTTTGCTTCATTTTCATTTTTTCATTTGGTAATATGTAGGATGTTAACATGTGTTTGCTTGTCAACTTGTTTGCTATGTTCAATTTAAAAGAACGCAGCTTTGGGCATAGTGTGATTGTGGGCCAGTCACGACAGCTATCCCTAGGCTGCCCACTTTGACACCACCAAAAATGCTTCTTTTCTTTAATCTTATCCCATCAACTATAGTTGAGAATCGCAAAAATTGCAGAACAGCCTGTTATTAGTATTGTCGAATTAATCTGATTTTTAAGGTTCGTAATACTAACATCTTATATTATATTTTACCCTAGACCTTGTACAGCTATGGAGCAAGAAAAATTGCCATATTTGGGCTTTCTCGAGGGGGGTGCCTTCCACAAGAATTGGCAATGTATCCACCTACAAATGGATCTTCATGTGTGGAGCCCATTAATAATGCAGTCCAGCTATTCAATAACAGACTGATCCCTATGATTGATGACCTCAACAGCAATTTACCAGACGCAAAATTTATCTATATAAACATTACCAGCATTTCTTCAGGAGATCCTTCAGCTATTGGTAGGTTAACTTTTTACACCACATTCCTTTTTCCCAATTTCATATTGACGATCCATCGAGACATTAACAGCATACAAATGATTGTTGTAGATGAATATTTATGACATGCTTTATATAACAACTAATGTTCAACTTATTCAATTATTTCAGGTATTAAAGTTGTGAATGCTCCATGTTGTAAAGTATTAACAACATCAACAACTTTTGCCAGGGGACAATGTGCTCGCGGAAAAGTTCCATGTAATAACAGAGATGAATATATGTTCTACGATAATATTCATAACACGGAGATTATAAATTTTGTCACGGCAACAAGAGCATACAATGCAACATTACCAACCGATGCCTATCCGACGGATATAAGTCATTTAGCTTCGCAATATAAATTTAAGATATAAATACAACTATACATTAATTTCATGAAAAAAATAATTAAATGCCTTCGTATTGTCGTTATAGTAGATCAGTGAAAATTTCCTTGTTGATGCTGAATTAATAATAGGAATTTTTTTGGTAATCATTCGGACTATACTCCCATTATCGATGTGGCTAATGTGTAATGTTATCCCTTTTCCGTCATTTTGGCCTTTATCACTATTGAAAGATTTAATGCAAGTAGATTCTTTATAATGATGACAAACACAATAAGGTGACCGGCTGGATTAGCTTGAACGGAAAAGGAATATGCCACTTGTAAATTCTTTTGTTTACATTATGGTTGACACTCCATTGATTTTCAAATTGAAATGTGTTGGAAAGTGCGTTTCATTTTAAAACTATCCACTGATGTTATGACACGTGGCACAATGTAAAAAATGATGTCAAACAAAGTGTGCATGTAGCATGATTGTATATTTGCTATACTATACAGCCACTATACTGTCGAAACCAAATAAAACTATGGCTAGCATACTTGGAGAAAATTCGAACAATGAAAGGCGCTATGACTCCGATATACTTTTCCAATTTAATACATGTATATAGTCACGCATTTAACAATATTCATTCGTTTTAATGATTGCTGTCCCTAAATTACTCCGACAACCTCTCGAGTAGAGCGTAACTTATTATCATGTATAACTTCTATATCTATATGAGAATTGTGAATACAAAATAAAGCATTTAGAACAAGCAAACATCATATAGTATTTAAATGTATATCTCTACATATTATCCGGATCTATGTTTATTGTCATTGAGCTAAAACACATAAATCTCCTCTTGGTAGCAATACAACTCATAAATCAATCTTTAATATTGGCCAAATAAAAGCAATCAGTGAATTCAATAGGAAATCATTAAATGGCTCGTGTGGTTCCTAGAGTCGTATTCTTATTTGATTGGTTTCAAATTATAACCTTCGCACGTTCAATTAATACTCCTTAAATGACCTCTAATTTCCAGTTTGTCAGGCAAGAAGAACAAATAGAACCCGAAGAACAAGTGTAGTCATCAGAAGTAACTTTCACTATTCTTGGGGTCCGTTTGATTGAAAAGATGGAATTGAATTGAATTGAATTGAAAACGAATTCCAAGAAATTGAATTGCCTAAAAATTGTTTTCCTGAGAATTGTAAATTATTGTGTTTGATTGGGATAATTTTTCATGTGAAAAATGTTGAAATAAAAGTATTTTTTTTTATCTCCGTTTGACTGTTTTACATGAAAATTGTCAATTAAATGGAAAGATTTTACTGATATTGGGAATAAAATTTATTTCCTTTGCCAACACACACAAAACAAAAATTTCAAGAAAATTATCTATTTTTTGGTATTCGTTTGACTTTATTTTACATGAAAATTTTCATTTAAAAGGAAATATTTTTTTACAATAATTCTTAGAATTTATTTCTATTGCCAACAAAAATAAAAAATAAAAAAAGTGCTACAATAACCGAGAAATCCAATTCTCATCATTCTGGTGAGAATTGAAATTCAAAGAAAACATGAAAATTAGTTTAGGTGACATAAAATGTGGAATTCGAATTTTAAGGAAAATTTTGCCAATCAAATAAAAAAAAATTGAAAAGATGAAATTTGATTTTTATTTTCCATGGACTTGGAGTCAAATCAAACATAGCCGTACGTTTTTTTAGATGAAATATCTAAAATAGATGAGCCATATAACCACATAACATCACGCGTGAAGTCCATTAAACTACAAGCTTAAAAGTGAAGTCCATTAAACTACAAGCATAAAACAAGAAAGTAAACATAATCGGCAAATTAATTTGAGTGTGATAGTTGGGTCCCACACAGTTGTTCATTTAAGCAGCGAAAAAAAGGCACAAATAGTAAATAAACTGAACCGACAAGGACAATATTTGAACAACAATGCTACGATGATCAAATTTTGTTGACATAATGAATGACCGATACTCATCATAAAGGAAGGCTCACTTCTTTTTTGAATTTTTTTATTTACATAGAGATCATGTGCTGTGAGAGGATGTTAACCATTATATCAAAATAATTCTGGCAAAGTAGTCTAATTGATATTTGAACATTACCATGAGAAATTGAAGAAGAAAACAGCACAAGTTGTAGAGCCCTCACCCATCATCCCTCTGCCAAAACAGAAGCACTTGGCAATGCTGTTAACCTGTGATGCCCCCAAAAATTTTATAGCATAAAATTTATTTTTTCTAGGTGCTATATTTTATATTTTTGAAGGTTGAAGGACTAAAGTTGAATATGTTTTATATTCTAATAGTTTTGGGTCAACTAATTAGATTTTGATAGAGCAAGTATTAGTATATCAATATTAGGCTCCATGGGAAGTTCATATTAAATGATGCACCATGAACTCGAGAAATATTTTTTTCGGATAAGTTAAACTCAAGTTATTGAGGTTGAAAGAGATTATCTAAATAGAATTAATTATGTTAATTTAAAGATTTATAAATGATGGTGGCCTGTAGAAATATTAATCCTATTTTAAATTTTGTTTTTGTTTTTGTTTTTGTTTTGTTAAGATAATTTGTTATATTATTGGATTGAGATAAAATTTTCAAATTCATTCTTATCCAACCATTTTTGCTTGTGGGACACGGTACTTTAAATCCCAAGTACACTAGAAAATTTATTGTATAATGTTATATCCTATCTATATATCTACCCCGATGTCGGCAAATATCTTACACAACATTGAAAAAGACATCTCACGACTAGCAGCAGTTTCACGTTTCTTTTCTTTTTCTTTTTCTTTTTCTTTTTTTTTCTGAAAAGGAAATTTGATGCGTAGAATCAAGAAAACTGGGTGCTCTTGATTTTTATCCCGTCTAAATTATTTTTTCATGTTGTTAAAATATTATACTAATGAATGTTAAAGATATGACATGTTATGTATGTTATGATCGTCTTATACAAAAGATATGATATTTATTGAACTCTTATCGGTCTCTAAAGATATGATAATGGTATAATATTTTTGACACGTGTGTTTTTTTTTAAAATTTAAATGAAACTTTTAGTAACGATTTAAATATTAAAATTTGAATCGTTACAGTAAGATATTAGAGCCCAGGTTTTATTTTCCGGGAGACCCATATAGATTTTAAAATTTAATTGAAATAAGTTAATAAAAATAGTGGGGGTTCTATATTTCAGTTGATTTTATTGTGCCTAATTTTACAAAACGCATTCCTGCTAAATGTTTCTATATGGGCAAACATCCCCATGATGATGAAGTTGTTGATGTGGATATATAATTGAAGAATTAGTTGAAAAGCCTTTAATTTTTAAATATTCTGATGATGCTTTAGAGATGTGTTAAATCATTTTGGTCCGCCCCC